GAATGGGCTTTGGAACGAATTTCTTGAACAGTATATGTTGGGGAACGTTTTAGGTATGGTAACGGACAAATGGAATTCGGACAGAGACGTTTTCTTTTGTTTGTCTGTTACGAACGTTTTGTACTGCGAAATAGAGGTTCGATAGCGGTAAGATTATCGAGAAATGTCAACAATATTGAAGTGTCATTGATATTTCGATGTATTGATAATGCCGTTAAAATATCGCTAAGGTAAATAGAAACAATTAAGGTAGACTGCAACGCATCAATTTTAATAAAACCATTCAATATCTATTTAGTTTTGTTTGAACTTATCGCGGACAATATACAGTAAATCCTTGATGAGTGTTCGAAGGCTTCTCGGTACTGAACATTAAATATTTCATAAACTAATGGCTATATGCGGCCGAAACAAATATCATTAGCTTCAGAATTCCAAGCTCTATCACTGTGCTAATGAACAATGATTGAATTTGATTTGCAAAAGGGTAAATTTGATTTGCAAAAGGTTGAATTTTATCTGCAAAAGTGAACTAAATTGGTAAAAAATTGAATTCGAAGTACAAAAACAGTATTAGAAAATAAGTGACACTAGATTGCCAGAATATACTGGAAAACAACGAGGTGGTATTTAACGGTCGACGGTACATATCGGTGACCTAACCTCAAAAACTTTCTTTCCACTCTGTCCAAATCAAATGAATCATACAAACTTAAAACACCAAAGCAGCCTGACTCATATAAAGTCCGTGTGTTGGTGAACGGACACACATACACGTATGATTACGTACTAACGCGAGTCGATGTATTTATTATCCGCGTTAATTGAGCCTATTTCGTAACGCCGCGGCCGGTAGTCGCTGTAACAGTATACAGGATGATACAAACTAGGGTTCACAACTTCTAGAGTAGATAGTACTTGCCAAATAATGAAAAAAAAGTCCTGAAAAAGGTGTGTCGAAAAAATTAATATTTTCGAAGTTAGGAACAAATTTTCGTTTTGGTTAAAGCGAGTGATTTTTTCGCTTTGGAAGCTGTCAGTACCGTACGAAACCAATGAAGAAAATTCTAAAAAAAATCAATAAAAACGAAACTAAACATAAACAATACACTTTTATAAGATAAAATAAAAAAAAATATGTAAAGAAATATACTGAATATTATAGGTACTTTAAATGAGACACTCCATAATAGGTGCAAAAAAAAACTTTTTTTTCGTTCGTTCGGTATGTCACTAATTTTCAATTATTCCGTAAAAAATGTCTTTTTGACGATTCCAGAAAAATGAGACTTACTAGACTAGACTAGAATTTCTTCTTATTTCTTAAGAAAAACAAGTTCATCGAGCCAGTAATCTGTCTGTAATTGGGTCACTTACCCTATGTTTATCAGAACTTTTTTTCATCATTTTTCCCAGAAGTTACGAACCCTCTTTTTTGTATCGCTCTGTATACCACGAATTAAGGCTTCGCGCGAATTGCGGTACGACGAATTACGCTTTGTGCGTACCGTTAGCCCGGTGGCCATTGGACGAACGGGTCCCGCTCGGTTCCACGTAACGATCCCAGGGAAACGGTCACCGATCCCCACTGGTGTATGTCAGTCTGTCTTTGTGTGTCTGTGTGCCATCTCTTAATTGCGATTAATCGTCGACCGTTTCGGTTGCAAAGGAGATTTTCCGGCGAAGTACGCGTCACACACGTTGCTCGTCTCCTCGGATTCTCGCGATCCGTTAATTACGGACACCTGTTTCCGATTGCTCCGAACAATTGTGGCTGCGGTCGAGAAAACAATCGGAGCTCTGACGTGGATGCTCGTTTCGTCGCGGGAAACGCAAACGATCGGGCTGATATTGTCGAATGTGTTTAAATATTAACGATTATCGCTGTGCAAGTATTACAACTCTGCCATCTAGCTCGTTGTACATGTTTTTGTTTCTTAATTATTCTCTTTATGTACAGCTTTTGTCTAAAAAATTAGGGTCACCTATATTTTCCACATTTTTCATAGTAACCGTACAATTAAAAAGCCAGAAGATATTTTAATAATAATTTTTATTAACTACGAAAGTACGAAATGACAATTTTATATTAATATATTTATAGGAATTTTAATTATAATCTTATAAACACGATAGAAATTTAATTATAATATTACTTTAAATGCTCAGTGGGTGAGATACGTCCAGAGTCTGTTACGAAACCTAACTCTATTATTTTGATGACAACAATATTTCAGTAACTATTTCAAGAACAATACTTTCTTTATATAAGTTCACAAACTCTCGTGATTTTTGCAATATCGTGAACACCCAAACAAAGCAGACCTTTCATCGAAATGTAAATGTCTTGGATTCTCACAAGACTGTTGATTACAAGTTACAGGTTTCGAAATGTTCAGGGTCGCTTCGGCTCCTCGTTCGATACAATATTTATGGACAGATTGGAATTTTTGAGGATCTCCTTGAAATATCTTCTGTTTTTTCGTTACTTGAATAAAAAGGACACCGATCAGAAACAAGTTTCTTGGAGACTTTCTTGTCCCCAGTGGAATATAAACTTTTTACTTTTACACGAATGTGAAAAAAAAACAGTACAACGAGTAATCACACGGTCGAGTGTGTCTAGGCGCGAAATCTCAAGAGGAAATTCGAAATTCCATTTCTATCGTTAGAAAACGAGAACCTCCGAGCATTCAAGGGAGAAAATAAAGTATAAATATCGCAACACGAATGCAAAGAGAAACGCGCATTTGGTTTTCCATTGATCGCGCTGGCGCGCACACGTTCGTGGGTGTGTGTGTGTACCTGTTAGATCTCACGAGATCATTAATTACGAGCACGTGCCCCAATTACTCCAGGCAATCGTGACTGACTGAGGAAAACTCGTCCCGTTAGACGTTAGATCGCTTCGTACTGGTTCGACGCTAGTAATTGCGATACATTTTAAATGTATCGATATTTGGTATCGATATTTGGTATCGATACGTATTGATACCCAGAGTATCGATACACATGTATATCAAAAATAAAATATCGATATTTGCATTTAAATTAGAAGTAATAAAATCCAAAAATGAAAATGCATCACTTCTTTAAGCAGACATTCACTGAGTCAGATTTTTAGGTAACAGTGTGGAAAAGAAATCGACCAATCTGTGTCAGTGAATTTTAATCATAACGAAATGGAAGGCTTAGAAGGGGGCCCCTAAAAAATACTGTCCGTTACTAGTGTCTGTATACAATCATCGTGAGCCTGGAATAGATAAAAGGGTCTCCTCGGTGACTTCGATGCGTGGTCAAGAACCATCGTCTGCCAGGAAGCGTCGAAAACAACTGAAACTCGTAAAATCATCGAAAACCTATCTTAAACCTTCTAAAATTTATATAAACAACATTTCTCTGTCTCATAAATAATCACTGGAATTATTGCAAGTATATAAAAAAATTACTATTTAAAGTCACTAAATATCTTACAATCACGAGATACCATTAAGAAACTCTTCGCTAGACGACAGCATTACGCAAAGAAACGAGGAAAACTCACGGACTCGCGTAACAAAAACCTGGTAAACACACGCAGTCAACAGTCCCAACCAGATAGAAGCGGAATTATTAATCGGAGATCATTTTCTCGATTGACTGTGATCATCTCTCGCCCCCCCCCCCCCCCCACAATTACCAACAAAACGTTTCGAGGAAGCCTGGTCGTCGCGTACTGAAAACCTTTTTTTCTCCCACCGTCGAACCAACTTTCATTTACCAACAAACGTGCTACTATTTATATATAAAAAAAGAAAACCTACGAACAACGTGCACACAGTTGCAATCCCGTGGCGATCAGTTGTTCTCGCTGAAAAATCACTTATATGACTATGATCGTGATCTCCGATTTCCCAGTAATCTCCGATTCTCGCAAGGGGGGTGGGGCAACTGGAATTTTCTTTCGTCCTCGCGATCCACCTTGCCTCTTTCTGGCGGAGATATCTGATGGGAAAGGCTTGCGTTCGAATTACGCGATGGGTAACGCGATAATGATGATTACCACGTCACGGTCGTCCACAAAGTGTACAGGCGTTTTTTACTCGCCGCCCGTTGAAATTGTACACCGACGCGTATAGTACACGATATAAATCAATCGGTTGCACGCAGGGGGGGATTAATGGCAGTGAACCTGGGGGTTGGAGGGGCTAACGTCATGATAATCGTGTCGCGATGATCACCTGGTAACGTCGTATCCGAATTTGTAATCAACGTAACACATGTGGACGATCTCGAAATCGTTATACCTCAAGAATCCCCCCACATTCCTGAACTTCCACAAACGTCACACATGTGGACGATCTCGAAATCGTTATACCTCAAGAATCCCCCCACATTCCTGAACTTCCACAGATCAGAAGGGTGCAAATATTAAGATCGTAGTAGAAGTTTGGAGAATTTTACAAAATATTTTTCCGAGAATTATTTCAGGGAATATTTGCAGAGTTTTGATGTATTGTTGTATAATGTCGCGAGTTTTTAGTCAAATTTTTTAACAAACTTCCACCTTGTAGAGTATGAGTCAGAGAACACTCGTTTACAACGATTTTGCTTTCACATGACTCATTCTACTGGAATCACGTTCGCCACCTGGACGTGATCATTACGCGGCGTCCACGTTGGCCCTCTGTATTTTACTCAATTTTTCATATCTCTGGAGGTCTGTTCCTCTCGAAATAATTTTTATATTTATGGTAAAGAATCGAATAAATTATAATATATAGTATTATAGTAAGAATCGAATCAGATTCGATGCGATTCGAAGTTTTCGTCCGTGTACATATTCGAAGCGTTTAAAATCCCATCACTACTAACCCCACTGAAAAATAAATAATCGTTCGCCGGATATATTGTGTACGGTGTGACGGTGGTTCGCCGGTTCACCTGACGATGTACACGCACGGCTAACACGATGTGGTTTTTGGATGTTTTTCTCGCGGTGCGCGTCGCGACACACGCAGGAGAGCGACGGTGGTTGCGATGGTAGCGACGCGGAGATGATCGGTAACGGGAGACGCGGAGGCGGCGGCGGAACGGAAAGGGATCGTGATATGGAGGAGGATGAGGACGAAGGAAGGGAGGAGAGGAACTCGGAGGGTGGAGGTGGTGGAGGTTTCGGTGGTTGGAGGTCCCACTTGCTCGGTGGGCTGACGCAACGTGTCAAATCCTGGTACTGGGGCGCCAGGCCCCTCGTAAGTTTTGATATAAATCAAACGAAAAACCACAACACACACATACATACACACATCGATCTAACCACGCACAGATACCTTGTCTGTTGTACTTTTTCGTTTCGACCCACAAGATCTTCATCTTTTCTTTTCGTTCGAGCTGTGCTCCGTGCCGATGCTCTCTTGCTGGGCGTTCCTTATGGCGGTGGGTTGACGAATCAACTATTTCAAACGTGTTTCAGTTAAAAGAGTCAGTTTGACCAACTTCGATTGACCCTCTAATGGTAAGGTCTAGATCGTTTACGACCCAAGTTATAGTTCTCCTTTTTCTATTATTATCTTCTAAGGTCAAATAGTAACTTTTTTCTACCCGTCTGAAAGTTGGAAAAAAGAACTCGGGTCGGATCCGACCCCACTTTACCAAGTGCGACCTTAAAACCCACCTTACCATTCGGTGGTTAACTTTAATCACGAGTAACTCGATCAGCAGTGTAGCCAACAGCAGACCTTTCGACCATATGTCGTTCTTAACCTAATCTCTTCGATCTGTGATATACTCTGTACTGTAATATCAAGTGTTATACGTTAAAATATCGAAAGCACAGTTCTAATATGAATGAAATTATTAATTTTTTACTATTCGATGAATAAAAGGTATACCACTAAATGTTAGGCTAAGAACGATGTAAGTTTTACTGTTGGCTATACTGCTGATCGAGTCAATCGTTGATCGAAGTTGGTCGAAGTGACTCTAAACACCTGACGATGGCTTCAAAATAGTTCAAATCAGGTTCGATGACGCCGTGTGACGATCAGACTGAAGTGGTTTCCAAACAGTTCGATGACGTTTCAAACTCGATACTCTCGAGACGTTATGAACTTGCCCAACATCGACGAAAAGTTTCAAACTTCAAGCCACTTGAACCGCGAACATCGACCAAGCGACTCGAGCTATCGATAAATAGCTGACTATGAAACCTTCGATTGATCGATGTTCGTGACTCGAGCGATTTGAAGTTCCGAGAAGTGTTTCATTGCTATTAGGCAAGTTCACAACGGTTCGAGTGTTTGAAGTTTAAAACGTCATCAGACTTTTTTGGAGGCGACTTTTCAGATCGAACGTCTCATCATGAACGTAATTTGGCTGGAACTGTTTAAACTGTTGCGTCAGATGTTCAAACACGTCTAAACGATTTTGATTACCCACCGCTAGTTCCATAAGCTTCGAACTCACGTCGAACGTGAGAGGCTCTCGAAGATCTTGGGAAGTTTGAAGGATGTCTTGACTACCTTACTGGGATTCAGGGAATATTCGACTATGCGGGGGAACTAGCAAATTGGAGTGAAACTCGAGGGTACGATTAAAGGCACGGTTTCATTAATTTTTATTGGATGTTCGAGTCCAGTATCTATTATTATACAGAGCAATTTATGAACGTGCTATTGTGCTAATGATTAGCAGAGAAATTTTATGTAAATGTGGATTGTTTTTGTCTTAATTTCTGAATCATAGCAGATCAGAAGAAATTAATCAATATGGCCGCCTCAGTTTTCCAATGCAAATCCATTAGAATTTTATTCATCGAATTATTTATTATGTATTTTCTGTTGAGAGAAATAAGCTTGACCAACCAACTAGGTGAATTAAAATACTATAATGTAAATGTATTTTGTACGATTATCACATTTTTACTCTATTTTTGTTAAGACCGTCAGGATGTTGAAAATTTTGGTTCCTAGATCTTCGAGGCTTCTCACGATTCGAAATATCATGAAACTTGAAGTGTATCAAATTCACAAGAGAGATATTGACCATCACTATTTGTGGCTTGCAAGAACGCGAGGAGGGGAGAAGAAAGAGGGGGCAGTTGTCGATGAGGAGGATATTTCACGCGAGGGAAAGTTCCTTATTTTTATCTCTAACCTCAGTTTTATACTTTTATCTTGAAATGTTCTTCTATTTCGAATGAATTTATTCGTCCGATTTTGTTCACATTTCAACGTAACATTTTGAATTTAATTATAAAATTACAGTTGCCACTTGGATCCCAACGTAGAAAATTATTCTAATCTCCTTTTAGTTAAGATCTTAATTCGCGAAAAAAGAGATAAAATATTATTAACGTAATTTCGAGTGCGAAGTGTTGCGTAAAATCTGGCAAAGTGTTAAACGTAGTACGATCTTACTCATCGTTAGTCTCATTCCTCTAGATCCCAAACAATAGATCTATCGATAGACAATAGCAAGCTTAGATAGCGTAACATCTAGAGTATCCTCAGATCAGAAGATTCGCTAAATGATTACGATAGAAATATTACTAGAGAGTTGTAGAGTTAGTTAGATGATAAATGTCTTTAACGAACATTTCAATTTTGCAACAGATAGATGGGAAGCTTCCGGCAGAGCCGCAGCTCGAGAGCTCTAATCTTCTTCGAGTTCACGTTCACCCTGGCAAAAGCAAAATTTTATATCCAAATTCTTTAAAAAAAAAGAAGACTTCATTATTTGGAAACTATATTGTCTAAAATACTTTTCTGTGTAATCTATGGGACACTATATTCGGTTTCTAATTTCCAATCGATGTCCTCTAAAAGTGTCCTGAATATTGAATTGTCAGCGAATTTTTGTTAAACTGATTCTGTTTCTAGTAAACGTCAGCGAAACTTTCCCTGCCAGAGTGCGTGATGGGTAACCAATAATTAAATTTTTCGGCTCTGTTGAAGAATCGAAGCATTATCCCGATCACGATTCAAGCCATCGGATACGATCATCCCCTTTGGCATCAAGTTTTCCCAATTAGATCTCTGTCTCTCTTTCCTTCTCTCTTTCTCTATATCTATCTATCTATCACACTATCTTCTCACACCCTTTTTTTTCTCTGTCTCTCTGTTCGTCACCAAGATCAATTTCCTTTTTGCTCTTAGAGCTAGCGAATTTAGTCGAAATAGCGATAGGTGTGTACGTGTTTTTTCTTAGATGTCTTGCACATGCTACTTTCGATTTGTCCTTATATTCAAGCACGACTACTATACACGATATATACGTATAATTATATCGAGACTATACTTAAATGTATAATTATATTTGTATATACGTGTGCATATATATATATATATACATATCAAAGTATATTTACATAGATGTCTTGGCATGCACGATCACTTTACTCACATCGAAATAGAGAAGTCATGATAAAGAAAAAAAAAACAGGATTCTCGCGAGACGGGGTTCGAGTAGACGCAGTACGAAAGTAAAACTTCGCTCGCCACGTACGATTAGAACGATGCATTAGGCCTAGATCACATGAGCGTTGAAATAACGAGTATAGTACGGTAGACCTAGTCTCTCACGGATGCCATTTTGCTGGTCACATGAGCGCCAATTTTGAATTGGTAGTAAATATTACAAATTATGAAAATTCTTCGGAATAATTTTTTCAAATAAAGAATTCCTGAATTCCGTTAATTCTTTCGAAATAACAATCTTCAAATTCAAGGGATGTAAAAAATGTTCCGCTGTAATTCGATTCAGATGAAAGATACAAGTAACATGTTCCTTTTTTCTTAAATGTTCAATGTACCGTGGCGCTTGTGTGACCGTGGCATTAGAACGATATTAGTGAAGGGAGAATCCGATCCGTAGACTTCCCCGCATAGAGTGTCACCAAGCGTAGTGCGTTTCCCAAAAGAAGAACACACGCGGGAAGAAAGTGCCTCGATCGGGTAACGGAAACGCTATCGATGACGATAAATCAGCAGAGAAAGTCCCAGACATAGGTTTTCACCGATCGAGGAAACCCCCCTCGGGAGGGGAACGTCGGAAAATCTACGAAGTAACGATTTCCTCCGTAACCGAGTGACGTTGCAACGCGACGCAATTATTCGACGAAGCTTCGTTCTGTTTCCCCCCACGATCAACGATCGGTCTAGAATTAATTTTTCGTCTCTCCGTGACCTTGTTTGTTTTCCATTTTATATCGAGACGGTCGAGATGTTTACGCGCGATCAGCTCTGCCCTTGTCTCTCTGTACCCCGGAGATGGGAATCTCGTTTGAATAATTCGCGATGAACAGAAACAGTGGATGGTAATTTATTCGTGACGCTGTTCTGACACGATCGAAACCGATTTGAATAACAATGAGATCGAACGCGTACGAGTCGTGTCTTTATTGTTCGCTGGTTTAATTGTCTTGTATAAAGCACATCGATTGTTCTTTACAGATATTGATCATGCATATACTGCGTGGGATAACTATAAAACCACCCTAATATTTTCAGTCCTTATATATTATCGTTGAAATAATAACGAACTACTTTTTTTTAGGAAATATGATTTATTCTTTTCTGAAAAAACATTAGTACATGGCATATTTAGTCCGTTTTTACTTTAACTATAATACGTAAAAACAGAAAATTTTCGGGTGGTTTTACAGTTACGCAACGTAGTGTAGTAGAATTTAATCGTGCGAAGCCCATCTCTGTTGTCACGTTTCTCATTTCCCAACACAAAGACGTTTCATTTTCTCGTTTCGTTACCATCCATCGAAGCTCGAACAGTCACGGATGCAGAAACGGATTCGGTCTTATTTCGGCGAGTCGGACAGGAAGAGAAATTCTCGTCGGCGAATTTCTGCGCGCGCGTTCGCGAAACACTTTCACCGCTCGCGATTCACGTTTCTCCGTGTCGAGAGAGAAGAGAAAAAAAAAAACAAACGAGCGACTCGCGATCAACTCGATTTCCATGTCAGCCGACCGTGACCTGTGGATTCCAGTTAACAAAACGACTTCAAAACGTCGCGAGCAGTTAACGAGGGCACGCGAACGGGGGGCGGCTAACGGGAACGTCGATGGTTAACGAATTTAATTAACGAGGACCAACGATGTCTGCGATCGAAATTTTCGAGAAATTCAATAGAAATTTAGCCAACTCGATGGAGAAGTTTAACGAAGACCCGAGGATTCACGCGAAGTATACGATAACTGTAGTTGGTCGTCTGGAAATTTCGCTCGCCTGTAATGTAAATCGATACTTGGTTCTGCGTGGAGAACAGTTTAAAGAGGGTTTCTTGGGAGACTTAGAATTTTAGTAGGATGAAATTTTGTTGGAATTTGGTGTGTCTTCGTTCAACTCTTCCCCCAATCGTCTCATGGTCGTTCGTTTTCACACGCCCACACACACACACACACACACAAACGTCACGAGTGACATTCACACTTTCTGATATTTTTCACGTCGGTGCGTTTACAATCGTGGAATCACGAGTCTGATAAAGGCTCTCACGGTAATAGAGTGTAATAATTACGCGACAACACCACCACTGCCACCACCACCACCACTACCACCACCACCACCACCACTGCCACTCTGTCCGAGCACCACCAACACCCAACTGCTAGCCAGCCTATCAGCAAAGCATGATTTAATTTTTTAATATTACTCTTGTGACCTATATCGATATGTATTGTCATGAGTTACGTTTCAAACACGATGTTATTGTACAACTGCATATAGGTGCCGGGTGATGTGCACCGTTGTGGAGAAGCGAAACCGGTAGACCAGCCGAGTTGGCTTGCGGAAGTGAACTCTTCGTGTAAATGCAACTGATAAGAATTGTATTATTGCCGTGGAGAAAAGTTCGGTGTCAAGTCGAGGTTGAGAATTATACTGGGCGATTCTGCGATCGGTGTCACAAAATTTTAGAGCGTATTCTGGAGCTCAAACAAAAAAAAATGAAATTTTTTACATTCGTAATATAATATAGCTGATGAATATTTGAATGTTAATGCGATAATTAGAATAAAATAGGATCTACAAGTGCCCAGACAAAGAATTTTTAATGTTCCAGTAGTAACTATCACTGGCAGCCATATTGGTGTCCGTGAAAAAGTATCTCGAACCAAAAGTAATTCCATTACAAAGACGAACAGTTTTATAGTCTGCCTGAAATTTTGTGACATCAAATTAGAATCACCCTGTATATTATGCATAAAATGTTTACACATTTAAATCCATCAATGCTTATAACAGAGTTTGTATCTTCAGTGTACGATTATAATGGTCGATTTGGAGGAAAGGCTGTCGTAAAACTATTCACGGTAACTTTTTAACAATAATTTCTTCTTAACACATATTAACACGATAACTAAGCGATTTGCTGTGTCGCGAGCATGAAACGTTATATCCCGTAACCAACTTTGCAGACTACCAGGGACTTCCTTCGACTACAGCGTGCACACGAGCTCGCCAGCATCAGCCTTTTTAGCTCTTGTGTGCTGCAATCGCGCGCGCGCGAGCGTGCCGGAAGTGACTTTGACGGGCTGCGTGACAGCCGCCGCGCTTCGAAAATCACTGAAAATTCGTCTTGAACGCTTCGAGCGTGTCACAACTTTCTACGCCTGAAAGACAAACTACTAAGAAACCTTCCTGATTCAGAACGGTTTCAAATGTGTTTCAGCTACAATATAGAACCCACGATATTACTTAACAGTTACTTTAACTTCTCTTGAATGTCAATATCAATCACAAGGTGTTCTCTAAAACCTGAATATTAATATATTCTCTAAGCACCGGTGATCAACTCTCCGAAATAGTAACCTTAATACCTTTTACTATTCTAATCAACCGAATTGATCATCACAGAAACATTTGCAATCTAAGTAGATTCAATGGAATATATATTTCAATGGAATATAAGAATATTCAACGTAAACTCTGACCGAAACGGGGACAATTCGATGTCAGACTTTCTCAAGAAAAAAGATCGTAGAACTATTACAAAATGGCGGCTGTCACGACGCCACAAGGTCGAGCCGGAAGTCGAGGACCGGGCTCTCAATTACCTGACGGTGAAACGTAGCTATGCCCGTTTCAGGAACTCGCGCACAAGCTCTCGCGAAGCTTCGACATGCAGGAGGCCCAGCTCCTCGAGGAGGGCGGTTCCGGTGGCGGGTCCGCCAGGGGCGGAGGCGCCGGTGGTCCACCGAGGAGGCACCATAGCGCTCAGAGGCTGGCCAGAAGCGAGATGTCCGAGAGAAGGGAGGAGGACGGGGCCCTGGTGGTGCCTGATCATCAAGGGAACCTGAGGATCACCGTGAAAAAGACGAAATCGATATTGGGCATTGCCATCGAGGGAGGCGCCAACACCAAGCATCCACTGCCCAGGATCATAAATATACACGTAGGTTGATCGTTGAACTAGATCAACGTATTGTATTGGACGGAATGCTCTTTCTCTTGTTACAACGGAATATTTAAATGACACGTACATTGGGACACGTTGAGCTCAGTTAAAGGGTCCGGTGCAAGGGGGAGCTATGCCAGAACAGTAGCGTTCTGACATATTAAGGGTGGCTGACAATCATTGGCTGCCCAAAACGTAGCAGTACATTAAATTACTGACATTTTCTCTACAGATTTCATGAATGTTTCCTATTGTCCGTGTGAGAATAGCGTTGATAAGTAGGGATTTCGGAAACAACTTAAACAATGCGAAATAAATATGCATTTTATTACTTGAGGCCTTGAGGCCTCTTGCGCAGTAATTTACCAACTAACGACAACACAACGAGACTGTCTGTTGATAGTCGAGGTGTTGATAAAGCGTCGTGAAAGTCGGTCAGTTGATTCTAGAAGTTGACGGCCACAAAGTCGAAGGTAATATCCCGAAACTGTTGTTGGAATTTTTTACGATTGTTACTTCGGAACTGTGTCATCAGAAACTATAGCGCGAAAAAGGGAAGCTTCATTAAAGTGTCGCGTACGCTTGTTACATCGAAACAAAAGAATACTCAATAACCACATTCTCGGTGTAAAATATATCGTCAGACTTCTGACCTCTCTCCAAATTCGCATCACTATCTACAAACTATAGAAAAAATTACCACATTTTAATTGGAAAACAATACACTATGCAAAACAATTAGAGTCTTCGATAGTTAAAAGATGAACGAATATTCATTAGTAAAAATTGAAAAAAAAATCCCCAACGACGTGTTTCTTCCATGGAACATGGTATCTCAATTTGGCGGGCAATTTGAAATTTTCGTCAATCAGCGTACGCCTTTGGCCTAGTATTCGATCCACCTTTGAACCATTATATCCACGCCGTAAATAATTAAAAGATCAACAGAACGAAGATTCATCTGTACAAAGTGACAGAAAGTCTGCATATTACGTCCATCTTCCGCAGGTCTCCACCATCAGGAAGTAGCTAGATTGATCGCGGAGTCGTTCGCCAGGCGGGACCGCAACGAGATCGAGTTCCTGGTGGTCGAGGCGAAGAAGAGCAACCTGGAGCCGAAGCCCACGGCTCTGATATTCCTGGAGGCGTAGCAGGAATCTCCCACCTCCGAGCCGGAGCCACCATAGCCCAACGCGTCCAGAGTTCGGCCCTTAACGCGTGTCGATCGTTTTCGACGTTGAGACGCGCGTAAACGAATCGGAGAAGCAGAGGAGGATCAGCAAAACCGTAACGATCATCCTGGACACTGTCCAGGCACGCCTGAATGGGGTAGCATTGTTGCTGCTGTACAAAGAAGAAACAAGGAATAACTCGACGTGCCTGACTCCTTCGTCTTCTCCGTACGGTCTTAATTCGACGGTCGAGCTCTTGGTCGGGTGCTAATTGAAACCTGGCCCCTGGTGGTGGTGGGAAAACTTGTCTGTGAAAGAGGCAAGAAACGGAGGACATTAGCGGGTTGCGATGGAGGCTCGATTAGCGAGTCGAAATGGGACGATAATTATAGGATCCGTCGATGTCCTCGTCTCTCTGGGAGGCGCAGCGTTCTTGGCTAACGGAACTGGGGTCCGAGGAACGGCTCTCTGGATTTTCGCTGCTCGAGCTCTAACAATGCTCTCCGAATGGATCGAGGATACATGTTAAATGGACGATCTTAGGATATAGGAGGGAGAATTAACGGGGAACGCTGTGTGGACGAAGGGACACTTTTACGTGTGAGGATTTACGATGGACGCGAATGGAGATGGAAGGTGACTGTGCCAAAATATTAGGGATTGTTTTCGTGTATAGTTATTATGATATATACTATTAATCGTAAGGGACCCGGCGGGACTCTGTTCGAAGAGAATCTATGTTATACCAGCTCAGTTCAAAAGGGATATCGACTATTGTGGGATCCCGACGACAGGTGTCTCCCGTGATAAATTGTCACACAGACGCCCAATGGTCGTCGCACGGGGGACACACACACAGCTCGAACACGGACACACAATCACAGAACCCAGTCTACGCGTGGACACACAGGCGTGGTTTCTAGCGTCGATCGGAGCCGCGCGAGACATGGATATTCACTGTTGACTAATGCGTTATCGAAGACCGGCTCCCGTCGTCGATCAGGATTTTTGTCGATGGTCGATTTGAACGATAGAGGATGCCCGTTTCCTGGTTCTGCCGCTTTCGAAATACCTCGATGACTCGGTAGATCGTAGACCCGATTGAAGTTCTTGCGTGGAAGTTAAACAGGTGACGCTTTTTCATTATTTTATACCTTGGTTTTTTTTTATTCGAATGTTTTTTCTCGGCTTCGAGGCTGGCCGAGTTAACTTGATCGATTTTTTTTAAATTATTCATTGTCTGAATCACACTTGGATGAAAGGAAGTATGTACAAGGTTTATCAGTGACATGGTAAAGTTAACTTTAAATTAAAACTTTGGGAATTCTCGTATAAGTATAGATCTATCAGTCAAATATACGATTGTTTCCACTATCTATCTACTTGTTTGGTTTAATACAGGAAATCAATGGTAATAAGTAGACTGTGGATGTTCGAGCAAATTCTGAATTTTAGACATTAATTTGTAAACATAAAAATCAGATAGAAATTTAGTTTCTGTCCTAAATATCTTCTTATGTTAATAATAATATGTAAATATCGTTAAGTTTGATTAGAATCTTTATGTTAGTGGATTGTTGCAAGTTAAAATATGCCATAAGTGCATAAACATCCGCAGTCTGGTGTGATCCAATATGGCGGACAAAAGTATCAGTCATACATATAGGTTAGTATTAGCATTTGCAAAATCCTGTTCCCACAAATTCCTGTTCAAATAACAATTATTCTGTTCGATAAAACAGTGGTCCCATTAAAGAGCGTTATTTATTTAAATATTCTTTACGAATGTTAACGTAAAAATGAAGAAAAACGACAGGCAAAATCGACGAAAGTCCTGATCGAGCCGAGCCCACGACTAATACAGACTTATTATGGGAATTGTTGAGGCTTAAAAAAGTATATTATATATACATATATATATATATTATATGATTATATTATTGACTATCGTAGTGGAATTGCAACTTGTACCTACCGGAGACGGACGAGCGCACGCACGTGGCTTCACCACGTGGCGCATGCCCACGTGCGTGCGCGCGCAAACCGCGGGAAAAACGAAAAAAATTATATAAATATGCGATATTTTCAAAATGTTACTAAACATAGAGATTGCCGTAAAATTTAGTGTCGGGCCTGATCATATTCGAGTTTTCGAGGGATCGCGGACGATCGCAGAACGATGGCCGAGAAAGAAAGAGAAAAAAAGCACGATCTCGAACGTGGATACTGATTTGTTTGCATAGTAGATCACTCGTACAAATTATTTAAACGAATCGTTCGCACTGACGTGGTTCATTTGGGAAGCCAGGGACGATGTAGATCGCGAAAAACAGATCGAAAACTCGAGACCTATTCTCTTATATGTATCCTCTCGTATCTTCGCCGGAATTAGCAATTTTTTACAAAACGACAGACGATCGACTAGAGAACGAGATGGTGAGATTTTTTACAAAATATATTTCTATCTTTATCATTTTCGTCTCGAGTTCTCGCAATCTGTCGCGATCGAAGATGTCCGCTTCGATGGTCGAACGATTCTACAATTTTGAGAAATTCGATTTCTACGTGTATTAGATCGGCGGTTTCTGAACATCCTGTCGCTCATATCCAAATTCACCCTACAGTAAGTTAGGATAGCTTTAACCCAGTCAGGGTAACTTCGTTTCAAAGTCAGAAACTGATCATTCCCGATTTCACAGCTCATTTGCAGGTACTATTACATCAAACACCTTTTCACACGAAAATCAACTTAACTTAATTTTCAGAGCTGCAAAATCGAAAATAGTCATTGTCTGACTCTAGGACAAATTGACCCCAACTTACGATACTCGTTTCTTTCATGAATCATATTTCGAACATTTGGATTTATTTCGAAAGTTACGTAAAAATCTCCTAACCAATCCATTTTTGATTTATGGTTCCATGAAAATTTCGAATTTATTTTTCTTTTCATTTTCGAGAGATAGATCATCGAATCCAGGATCCGCCATGTTAGTAGAGCCGTTCGTGACGTAATCGTTGCCGCAATAATTGTACTTAAAACGAGGATGTAGTCGTTCACCGATTAACATTCGCGGGAGTAAACGTAGCGCGTCGTTGTTGTGATAGTCACGGTTGACAGGTCTTGTTTAATGTCTTCTCTACCTGTTAATGTGTAATTTTACGGCATGTGTGTAGCTTTGTACCTTGGAGGTCCACGCGATGATCGGCAGGCCGATCGTCCGCGATCGTCTCGCTTTTCGACAAAGCAAAAAAAAAACCGTGCAAAAGCTTGAGTAGAATTTTTGTCGCGTGTATGTGTAAAAACGAAAACAGCCGAATCGGATGGCGGATCGACGAGGTGGACTATGAACAAGATCGGATGTGCGGCACCAGCGATCCAAAAGAAAAAATCACGTTTCTTTTTTACCTTTCATTGATTTTATCCACGATCCCGTTAATGTGTAGAGAACATTCAACCGTGAACGCATCGAGACATTGTGTGAACCGAATCGAGGATGGAAAAGTTTCACGATACCGATTGTTATAAATTTTGCAATATTTAAATCGTTGCGATACAGTTTTTTTTAACCCTTTAACGCCCAGACCTTGAAATCGTTATTTCAAAATTGTGAAACTGTTATATATTTGTTCACATCTTGTTATTTTGAAGTCGAAAATATCGATATTAGATGGACCTGTTTTTTCGCTGCACGAATTGATCAACACTTAGCACCAATCAGGCAGAATATTTCACGCCAAAGGTCGCATTATTCGATTAAGCTTCCCTTCAACGTTAAATTTGCAATACATTCTCTACAAACACTAAAATTTTACAGTCCACGAGACACGTTTCTGAATAAAGGATAATCAATCCAGACTGAAATAATTCTGCACTTCATTGTTTCGCGATAGGAACGACGGAACATCGATCTTACCAACACCAGTAAATAATCACCCAACGGAACGGACTATTTACATTATAAATAACAATTTGTAATTTTAATAACTTCCTCCTATCGTGAATCGAACGTTCAGATCTCTGTTTCTTCGTTCCCGTCGTTCTTATCGCGACACGATCGAACGGCTCCGAAGAAATGCGAGGGTAGAGATCGAATTTTCTGATCGTTGGTGCGCCATCGCGAGACCGACGTTCGAGCGGACGTATTCTGGTGAATGTGCCAAAAGACGGAGAACAAGCAGAACAAAACGAGGAACGAACGTAGTGTAACCTGTGAATTCGACGAAGGAATGATCTCGTAGTCGAGGCGAAAACAGAGTATGTAACTGGAAGACTCGAAAAAAAAAAGAGTATTTCGTTGTTTTCATCGATAGTTATCATTGGTAACAATCGAATCGCCGGCCAACGCAGTCGTGGAGAACCTGAAGGAACGAACAATATACAAAGAGCAAGTAATCGAAAGTGGAGAAGAATTATCGATGGCGGTTAGCTGCTTTCCGGCTGAAACAAAAAAACATATACCTCGTGCTAATAGTATTTCTTCCTGTTTTCGATGCGAGTTTTTCTAAAGAAAAAAAAGAAAAAAATAAGAAGAAAGAAACAAAACAAGAATCCCACGATCGTTCGTTGCCCCCAGAAGAAGATCGAAGGAAAAGCAAAATGGCGACGAGAAGGACACAAGCGTTACGTGTCGGGATCGAAGGAAACCGGGCAGAAAGTGGCTGGGGCGCGAAATTTTGAAGATCGAGAAGATATTTTTGTAAAGCCTTCGATGTTACCGCAATCACTGGAGCGATTCGGAAGATCTCAGCTGACATATCCGACAATGCCTTACCGCTTTCAGCGAGAAAATTAAACTCTTGGAAAAAGCGTCCCGCGTGATCGAGGGTGTCGTAGGAGAAAAAAAAAAGCGGGTTCGTGTCCAGACTTCCCGATTGGTCAGCGAGAATCGCGGAAGATAACGGAACGGTGCACGTGAAAAGTACTAAAACTAGTACGGCGAGAAGAACTCTTTCGACTGGCTGGTTGCGTGGATGGA